GGCACAGACACCTCTGGATGAGCCCAGAGCAAGCCAGGTGCCTACTTAGTGGTGCTACGCCCTTGAACGTGAGGCCTAGCATGAACATCCTCTTGTGTAAAATGAACCGTGGTAATGTTAAATGATAAAATACACACAAAAGTGCTTATCACAGTGCTTGGCACATAGTAAGTGCTCAATAAACGTTAAATGCCACAGATATAGCAGAATTAAAATAACAAAGTAACCCAAGGAAAGGCCACCTGGTAACGTCTCTTGGAAGGCAGCCAGTAAATCTCACTTGGCGCCACTTCCACCTGGCCTTGTTCACATTTTTGCACTCACTTAAGAATTGACGGAGCAGCCATCGTGTGCCTGGGAAAATTTGAATGGGGGTTGGCCAGATGCCCTCCTGCCTAGCACAGAATAAAACTGACTCGTTGTTCTTACAGAAACACTGTGCAACACCATCCCTGCCAGTGTGGCACGTGTGTCCCCTAAAAAACAGAATCAGCGTGGATAGCAGAGACTCTTGAAGCTTTAAAGCACTGATCAGAGATGAGGATTCTGCAGGTGGAAGAGGCTAGAAATGTGCTCCAGTCCATGGTTGAGGTTACTCTTGGCTGAGATGTCCCATTCCTGATATCCCTGTCATTCTGGAACTTCAACCACACCAGTGGCTTCAGTGACCCTCAAATGTGTCTCATGACATTTGAACCAGTGATCTTCAAGCTCGATCTCAACTAGCAGCTCTTCCTGAGACCTGTCCCACCTGGCTGCATTGGGCCATCTGCTGTTAGACTGGGGTCCTGTATCTTTTATCTCTGCATCTCTAATGGTGATGAGAACAATAGCATTATTGTTGCCCTTCTGTCCACTGTTCTGTCCACTGTTCCATGGCCCAGAACAGTGCGTGGCCATCGCAGGGAGGCAATGGCTGCTCATGGAAAGAAGAATGTTCTGGGCACTGCTAGGTGCTTTCCAAGTCTCTATTAGGGAAGAAACAGTATTATCCCCATCTCACAGAGGGATATCAAGTGAGGGATGTCAAGTACCATTCCCAAGGCCAAGTCAATGCTGAGTAAGGAGCATTTACGATGGTGTTACAACCTGACAGACCCCAATATGAGTTGAAATGTGGAAAGTGGAAAATACATTCTCTACACCTAGCGTCCTGGATGTCATAGCGTAGCCACACAGCACACTGAGGAGACTGGTGGTTCCCCTTATAACTGGGGGCTGCAGCTTGTGGTCCCCCCAGAATCAGGAGAGAGAAGCAGACTGTGCATCACTCCTCCTGGAAAAGACTGAAATTCAAAACGTGCAGCAAGGTTTCTACTGACTGCATACTGTTTTTGCAACCTTGTAGAGTTAAAAAAAAATGTACACTGAGCTGTCATAGGTCAGGGGCCATTTGTATATAGTTCTCATTCCAGGGAGTGAAAATGTCAAGTGGTTCCATGCAGTTACCTCGGCTGTTTGGAAGGTGGCGGGCAGTTTACAAGGGTAGGTACTGGGGCCTGGAAAAGGAGTCCAATACTAAGTGCTGTGAAGAAGCTGTGTGGCAGAAAACTAGCTGTTGAGCACTGACCCTGCAAGAGGCTATTACCAGCTCCTGGATTAATTGAGAAAAGGCGGGTCAGAAGTGCCCCACATCACATTCTTGGAAAGTATCGAGGATCTGGGTTCAAATGCAGGTCTGTGTGATTTGGCCACACCCGCTGAACTCCAGTGGACATTTCTATAAACAGAAGTGCGAGCCGCACGTCTATAAGCTCATTCATTAGCAGAAACGGGAGAAGGCGTGGAAGAGAGATTTTAGTGAAAGTCTGCAGCTCTGTCCCTGAATAGAGCTGATTTCATTATTTTCCGATTGAACTGTTTGTTTTTGCTGAAATATTAGCTGGTTGCTAGGCAACCGCTCAGAGAGCTATGATGCTGAACTTTTTTTGGAAACCAGGGAGGACCTCAAGAAGGGTGACATGAGCAAGTGTCTGGGGGTGCAGCCAGAGGGCTGCTGGTTAGCCTGCTCTGTATTGTGGGGTTTGAGAGTGATCTGGCTCCTTCTGCACAGGCTGGGTAGACAGAAGTCCACGGTTTCCTCTCACAATAAGACTAAGCTTTCTGGGGCCTTGGTTTGGTGACCACTGCATAGAGAAGTATCAGAGTACAGGCGATGGAAACCAAGCTTCCGGCACTTGGTCAAAGCTCAATTCATTGTAACCATCATTTTTGTTAGTCATATCTTCACAAAATCTGGGTCTAGCGTTTTGTCAGATATCAGTGTTGAAGAAGTCAGTCAATTAGGGGATCTGCTGGCCCCCCTGAGCACCATAGCTAACAGCATCCCTAACCTCATCCCCAACCAGTGATATAATTCTGCTGTTGTCGGGATATATCTACTGATAATATATGGATCAGAAATAAATCCTTCCCAAATACTAGAAAAAATTCTTCCCAAGCCAATTACCAGTCAATATAGTGGCCTTCAAAGGAAATGGACAGTAGATGCTTATTTAGGGCTTCTGATAGAATCATGTCCCTTACTGTTTCCTTAAATTCAGTGCCTAGGGAATGTCCAGGTCAGAGGTCACAGACTGGTGGCCTGGAGGAGGGGGGGGGGAGGGGCAGGTTCACTGCAGCCTGGGGACATGTATGGTCTGGCTTAGCAGCATTAAAAACTTATTTTTAGTAAGTTGCTGATATTAAAAGTCTTATGTGGAAATGCAGATTCCCAGGTCCTCTGCAGGACTGCCTAACTTCAGTCCTGGTCCCCTGGAGCAGGAATTCCATATGGCAGTGGAGAGTCTATGGTCTCCCTACTAGGTTGTGCTCAGTATTCTTGGGAGGTCTGCTTAGACAATAATTGAATCTAGGAGCAATTTGCAGTATTTCAAACCCCCTGAGGGGAACCACAGGCACCTGGGATAAGGTGGCCGAACTGCAACCTCCAGCGATTCTGCATTAAGCAAAAATGTTAATTAAAAGGCAATATTAATTACCTCAAATTGAATAAGATGTTGATCATCAGTTAGGGTCTCGGATCAGTAAAGCCCAAGGGGCAAACATACATGTCTGCTCTTGTATACTTGTTTTTAAACATGATGCCCATGAGGCAAAGTCATAAAACAGCCCTTGGAGAGTCAAGACCACAGTGTTGATGGAATGGGGCCTGTTCCCTTTCAACTCATCCGAGTGAAGGCTTCCAGGTGCTTCTTAAGAAGAGCCTAGAAAGTGGTGATGGGCAGGGTCCAGTCCTAAAAGCCTCTCTTTGATGGGTCCAGGTCGGGGGTGGGGGGTGTTGGTGGTATTGGGCCACACTCTTCTCCCACATGTCTGTACTTCCATCTCTGGAATCTGGAGGTTTCAGAAGCTGCAGCAACAGAGGTGACCACATGGGGGCACCCTCAACCCACACACTGGGATTCAGAGCCCCAGCAGGAGCCTGAGCTGGGGAAAAACTCCATTTCTTAAGAGCCTGGTACAGTCAGGAGTCCCGGTTCACAGACCTCTGTGCTCCACCTGCCTGCCTCCAAGATGTCCGGGTGCTGCCCACTCTGCTATTATCAAAGAGCCCGAGAGGGGCTCCTCCCTGCTCACAAGAGGGGCTCATGCTATGAAACCCCAACATGACCCTGGAAATAAACCCAGTCCAGTGGCTGGACACAGGCTGCCTTCCTTGCTCTGGAGAGAGCAGGGCAGGGAGGCTGCTGATGTGAAACCCGTGCTTCGGCTGAAGCACAAAAGGTTTAAAGAATGTTGGAGATCTTTTAAGAGAGAGGCACAGAGACAGGAAGGGGTTGGGAGGGACAGGGAAAGAGAGACAGAGATGGATGGAAGGAGGGCAGGCCAGAGAAAAAGAGAGAAAGAAATCACATCCTGCCAAATCACATTGTTTTGGACAGTCAGAAACCCCAGAGTAGCAACACGGCCTTCAAACCTGGAATCCGACAGACCCTGGTTCAAATCCTGACACAACCCTTGGACTTGAGCAGGGGATTTGGCCTCTCTGAGCCTCACTGCTACCCCTAGAAAATGGGGGAGGTATGCATGCTTTTGGATCCAACAGGATAAGAGATGCAAACCACCTCATGGTACCTAGGAGCCAGGCAAGCACTGCCCTGGTAGTGGAGGTAACGCACACTGAAGAATGACAGTAGGGAGAGGCGGATTCTTTAAAACTGTGGTTGGTGCATCTGTACCTAGGGAATGGAACCTTGGGCTATATGAATTGTAGTGTCTTTCAGTTCATGCTGTTTGTTATTATGTAATAAATGCCACTTGTCACCACAGCCAAGCAGCTCTCCGTCACGGCTTTCTCCAGTGGCTGGACGTTTGTCCTTCTAGGTGGGGACAGTTAGAAAAGGACATTGGAGATCCAGAGACGGCCTCGAGATGATTAGGCACATGGGTCCAGTCAGGGTCTAGGTTCTGACCCCAGCTGCCCCTTCGCTCCTGTGTCACCTTGGGCCAGTGGCTTAGTCTTGTTCTACCTGAGGCAGGGTTTGCGGCAGGGTGGGGGGTGGGGGGGGTGAGATCCGACTTGTCAGGCACTCAGAACAGCTTCTGGCACCCGGCAAGCACTTCAATTGATGTTAGGCATCATTATCACTTAGATTTGTTTTAAAGAATAGGCAGTGATCTTTTTAGAACGGTTACGTGAAGGCTGTCTGATCCAAAATTGGAAGAGGGACAGTGTGTTTTTCAGAGATGCTATAGAAAGAGCATTAGATGGGAGACAGGATGCTTCCTAGACCCAACTGACACTTCATCATGCAAACTCGGGCTCCAGGCTGTTCCCCGGGACAACCGCCTCCTGGATCTCCCACACCTGGCAGGCAGGAGTTCTACCTCTGGGTGACCAGGCAGGCCGTACCCCGTTCTTGACCTCAGCTGCCCCATCTGTGAAAGCACTTGACTAGAGCAGGATCCTAAGGGGCTTCTGTTCCGGCCCCGCACGACCCTACAAGCCTTCCAGCTCCAGGAGCAGAGTGGGCAGTGCCGGCCCAGCAGGTCCTTACCTGAGGTACTCATAGAGCCCGTACATGGGCAGGAAGTCGATGTCCGACAGGAACGTGTAGGGGGTGCTGATGTGCTTCATGGCCACGTTGCGCAGGAGGTTCACAGGGTAGAACTGGCCCTCCTTGTACACAATGTGGTAGCCCACGTTGTGGCGGCTCATGAGCACCTCGGAGCCCTGGGCATAGCGGAGGAACTGCTGGGCCTCAGCATCCGACAGGTAGAGGGCCAGACTGATGGGTCCCTCCCAGTGCTTGCAGATGGCCTCCAGCATCTGGAGCCTGGAAGAGAAAGGGAGGCGGGTGTGAGGACCTGGCCCATCCCTGAATCATCTGCAGGCCTCCTGTGGGCCTCCACCTCCATCCACCCACAGGCGGACCATCAGCTGCAAATCTGAACTGGTCTCGGAATATTACCCACTCAGTTCTCTTACCCATAAATAGACATAAAACATCTGCCACGCTGGTTCTCGTCTTCTGCCTCCCGCTGAACACAGGATAGCAAAAGTCACCTTGCACACAAGCCCCAGGCTCCTCTTTTCAATGGTGCCATGGTTTTGGAAGTGCTTGCCCCCAAACCTTCATGCCCTGGAAGCTGGGTTTCCAATGTGGTAGTGTTCAGGTGTGGAATCTTCCAGAGGCGGGGGCCTAGTGGGAGGTGGCTAGGTCATGGGGGTGGGCCCTGGGAATGAATTAATGTACTTTTCATGGCTCCTTGGCAAGTTCCCATGAAAGTGTTTTAGAAGAACAGTTATCCTGAGCCCTGGATCCTCTGTCTTTAGTCTCACCATGGGAATGCTCACTCTTCTGCACAGAGCCATTTCCTTCCTGCTTCTTGGCCATCTTGTGATATTGTCAAAGGAACTGTCACCAGAGGCTGACAAGATGAGGCCTCCTCATCTTGGATTTGACATGTAGCCTCTAAAACTCTGAGTTAAGTAATCCTCTTCTTTAGAACTACCCAGCCTCAGCTATTTTATTATAGCAACAGAAAACAGACTAATGCCAAGGGGTGGGCTGTGACTATAGTAAACTATCCAAAGATCCTCATCCAGCCCAAACTCTCATACCTCTCCTCTCTCAGTCAAGATGGAAAACGGCTCCACTGATCTAAAGCAGTGAACGGCCACAGAAGATTTAGACTAACGGAGGGCACGGCCTGACAAGGAGCACCAAGACCAACATGAGAGGGAGAACATGAGAAACAGCTAGAGTTATGGATGCGTCCCTACACGCCAGGCGCCTTCCAGAATTCTCCCAGCACAGCTCTTCTCCCCAGTTTCCTAATAATGGACCTAAGGCTCCAGCTCAGATTCCTGGACCTATCCACCAGAGATGTGTAGACAGGGACCTTGATGGGGCTTGAAGTGACTGAGAAGTAATAACCCTGGGTGTTTGGCAAAGGGAACAGAAGGACGTGTGAATGTTGGGAACCCAAGGGCACCTGGGGTAATGTCTTCACTGTTCAGGGTGCTTACTGCCTGGAGGCCAAGTTCACAAGGCTACCAGAAGGCTCTGGGCCAAGGGAAGTGGGGAGAACAGAGGCCAGAGGAAGAAACAAAAGGAGCTTCTCACAGGAGTGTTCTGGGGACAGGTTTGAAAAGAAACCTATGAGGATTTTTCTTCTGCTTTCTTTTTCTTTTTTCTTTATCCCCTCAAAGGCATCAGAAATGCCTGGTACACAGAATCTATGGTTTAAAGAGACAGCAAAGGCCTATTTTAATTTTTCCCTCTTTCCAGAAAGAGGTTACAAGACCAGAAGTCTTCTGGTCGGATGTCTGTCCACTTTATTCAGACGATTACCAAGAAAGAGATTCCATGCATTTCCACGCTTCCAAACCAAAGAAAATGGGCACACCTATCTCCTGTCGATGGCTTTCTCTCTGGACTTCCAGAGTTTTCTCTCAGTAACTCTGGTATCGCCTAGATTTGCCCCTTTTCCAGTACGGAAGACTGAGACACTCACCAGAGTAAAATGCCCTCCATTTCTCACCCTTGATCACGTCCACTAACCAAACCAACCGAGTCACCTTGTGAAGGTAGCATTCTGCAGGATGCCTCAGCTCGCTGACCCTGGCCTTGAGCCTCCACTGTCGGGCCCTGTTCTCTCCTGGGCTTGAGGGTCTGGGATTTTGAATGATCTCCCCGTGCCTCAGCTTCATCTGTGTACAATGGTGGACTCCGTACTTCCAGGGAGATCTGTTTGCACAAATCTTTTGTGAGCAGGAGAGTAAAAGGGCAAGAACCGTTTCTCGCATGCAGACTGTTGGTGTGTGTCAGGGGAAGGAGGTCATTGGACTGAGCAGGGGAGAGGGCGGCTTTGCTGTGGATTCTTCTACTCACTGGGGTTTTGACTCTGTTTTCTAAGCAGGCAGCAAGCCTACCCGGCACAGCCCATCTGCCAAGCTCTGCTGAGAGCACAGGAGAATGCAGGAAGCTACTGAAGGTTCTCAGGAGAACGGTGCCATTCATGAAAGATTAAGTTGAGCTTTATGGGAAATGGTGTCAGGTGCGTCCCGTGGAACCTCAGCCAGGAGTGTGTGTGCACATGACACAACCCACATGTCTTCCAAGCCGCCAGCCCCTCTCCAACATTTTCTAAGAATCAAACTTGCCAGGATGGGGACAACAGAGACAACCTCAGGTTCCCAACAAGGACAACATGGAAACTGTGACAACCACAGATCAATCCGTCCCCCTTACTTCCTGCTTGCCAGGTGCCACCCACATTGTGGCTCTTATCATATCTGATAGCCATAGGAACTCTACAAAATTGAGACTCTGATCCCTGTTTTGCAGGCGAGGAGGTAAAGTGATTCTTTCAAGTCATGCAGCTGTCAGGTGCAGGAGATGGGTGGAGGTCTTCCTGACCTCAAAGCCCAGGTCATCAGCTGGTAAGAATGGGTGTTAGGTTGAGGACAATGCCCCCCAAATCTCTTCCCTTCATTGCCTGTTTCCCCTCAGAAGAGGGCCCTCCTCCCTTGATGTCAACTTCTATCCATTCCTTCCTCCTCCTCGGTCCCTCTTGGGGGCGGCCTCCAAGACCCACCACTGGCTGCTCCTCGTGGGCTGTTTCTCTCCACATCTGTTCTGGGAGGGGCGCCCCTGCAGCTCTTGCTGTGTGGAGCTTGGTGCCCATCTTTCTCCGGTCCCCTCGACAGGAAGACAGAGTGCTCGGCACAGCGAGGGCTGAGCCAGTGCAGATTTCAGGAGACAGAGATCAATTCTAAAACCACAGAACTGTCCATTTGGAAAGGAGCTTTGAGATTTTTTTCTTTTTTTGCCTGGACCATTTTCATGATGAAAGAGGAAAGAGGTAAGTTTCACAGAGGGGGTGCGACTTGCTCAAGAGAACAGGAGGAGCCGATGGATTAGCGAACTCTAGAATCCAGAGGGGTGGACTCACCCAGCTCCTTTCCACTCCCCACAGAGCCCGCCGCTGCTTCCTGCTGGGGAGGAGAAGGCAAAGTCTCTGGTGTCTGGTGGGTCTACTCTGGGGAGCCCCACTAAGATGGAAAGCTGAACATACACAGTCTTTAGCTTACTAAGGAGCAGGCAGGGAGAAACCTAATGGCCAGGGTTGGCTGGGACTCCAGAGCATCTGTGGGCCTCCCTGGCTTCTGTTGCAATGGGACACGCTCACCCTACCAGCTGGCCCACGCCCCTCAGGTACACTGCAGCAAGAGATGCTGCCTGGGACACGATCATAGCTTGCAACTCTGGGTTCTGGGGTCAGACAGTCCTGGATTTGACCCCTGTGCTGGGTCAGTACACATGGGCAAGAGCTCTGAGCTTGGAGCTTCAGTTTCTACCAATGTTCATGGGACAGAATAGCTTACAAAATAGCTATAAATCATTCTTCTCTATTCACATCCTTTGGGAAGACTCTCCCACACTGACCCTGGCCTGACCCCACCTCGCTTGCTTCAGTCTGAGGGACATTAGCAAACATTACATTAACAGAGGTTTTAAAATGTGCGGGTACAGCAGGGCTTGGTCCTTTGGAAACCTTGTGACTACCACTATGCGAACAAGCCCCCATCACCTTGCTAGATGACATCCAGGTATCCTCAGGGACCTGGCTAATAGCCAGACAACCTGCAGAAGAGCTACCCAGGTTGACAGCAGATGCCTGGATGGGTCCAGCTAAGCACGGGCCAAGCTGCCCAGCCACGGAATCCTGAGTTCACTAGGGTGGTCATCTTAAGCTCCTAGGGCAGGATAGCTTGTTAAGCAGCAATGGGTAACTGATACAATATCTAAGTGGAGTTGACCCCTAAATGAGATGCAGCTAGACATATAGCAGGTGCTCAGCATAAGACAGCCATAATTTCCCTTGGGGTTCCATCTTTGCCTTTCAAACAGGCATTCACCCAACAAATATTTATCATCTCCAATGTGTCTGGATGCTAGACAGACAAGGTTCCTGGACGTCTGGGTCTTGTGTTCCAGGGAGGAGACAATAAGCAAACCAAACTCAGTTCAATCCAGATGGAACTGAGAGAGTAGAGAGACAACAGGACAGACAGTGGCTGTGTGGGCTGGCCTAGGAAGGCCCTCTCCAGGTGACATTTGAGATCTAGAGCTCTGTGTGTCTACTGGTGTCTAACTCAAACTTCTACTAGGTAGGAATCCTAACCCCACGGTGATGGCATTAGGAGGTGGGACCTTTGGGAAGGCAAGGTTCCTAATGCCCTCATACAGAGGCCCCACAGGGCACCCTTCCCCTTACACCACTTGAGAATAGAGTTGGAGACTCAGCCATCCATCAGCCAGAACATGGGCTCTCCCCAGACTCTGGGTCTGCCAGCACCTTGTCCTTGGACTTGCCAGCCTCCAGAGCTGTGAGAAATGTGCTTCTGGAATTTTTTTTTTTTTTTTTTTTTTTTTATAGTAGGCAGGATGGCCCAAGACACCTACATAAAGAGCAGGAGCCAGATTGTGAATGTCCGGGGTGAGCTGCCCAGAACAACTTGCAGCAAAAGTGAGTCCAGCTCAGTCAAGCAAGAAGCTGGGCCAGTGGGACGGACTGTGTGTGGGAGAGGAGCAGGTGTCTGGCTGGGCCTTGAAGGCCACGTGGGCAGTGGGCTCCCTGTTCTAAATGCAGTGGGGATCACCGGGGACTTCAGGGCTGGGACCAGATTTAAATGCTTCAAAGAGCACGCTGACCATCACAGGGAGAAGTACTTTTCACTCTCAGAAAAGGGCTGGGGCTTCCCAACACTGGTCTGATTAGTGGTTCATTTAAAAAGACCTCCCCCCACACACTGGAGGTTCTGGTTCAGGAGGTCTGGGCCGAACCCAAGAACTTGTATTTCTGGTCTCTCTTTTTTGCAAAAAGCAGAGAGGACATCCATCAGTCAGACGATACCTTCAATGGTGGTTAGTTCTTCAAGAACTTTGACAACGGGACACCAGAGAACGAGTGTCTCCCCCTGGCCAGGTGTCAGAGGACAGAAGCCCTCCCCACGGAGTGACTGACAGAGATGCCGGCACCATGGCGTGGCCAGTGACACTCATTCTCTCTGAGTGGAAATCTGCAGGGAGACGGCATGGGGGCGGCCTGTTGACTCCCCTAATTTATTGTGGCATTCACGTAGGGCTACTTCTGACTCAAAGGTTTACAAACACACCCGAAGTGTTTCCCAAATTAAAAATCAATCCAACAGGCACCAGTCAGCATGCTGTATCATAATTGGATGTGCAGCACAGAAGGCTGGGGAATTTCTCCCACTGCACCGCCGTGTGCTCTTAGAATTTCTGAGCATGTCCTGCTCAGTGTCTGTCAGAGGGACCTACAATTCCTTGGGTTCTCTGAGGTATTGCCTGGATGGCAGTACTTGTTACCGTGCATTGGGGGTAGCAGGCATCTGCTATGCTTGGCATGTGTGTGCTTTGGGAAGGGAGGCCCTGTGACCAGCGCTTGCTGCAGACAGACAGGGGACCAGGGATTTCTTTGAATGAATGCAAGAAAGGTCCTGCCAGGATCACCACTGGCCCAAGCTGGGGTGGGGGGTGCTTCCCTTTGCACTGGGAGGAGAGGCTTGGTTTCCTGATATTCATCTACTGATAGTAAGTGTGTAAAAAGAATGAGTCTGGGTTGTTAACTGAACACATTTTCCTTCTGCTGATGTGTGAATCCCAAACAGCAAAGTGTATAGCCAACAATGAGGTAAAGACACAGGATGAAATGTCAACTACTTACTGGACATTTTACATCCTCTTATTTTAGAGCATCTAGATAACATTCCCTGAGCTCGACAGTATCACCATCACTTTGCAGATAAAGTGAGATTCAAAAAGGCAAGTACCTGGCGCAAGCACACACAGTTAGGAAGGGGCACAGCTGGACTCTAAGTCCAGGTCTTTTTTGTTTACTTTCCCTCCCTCTCCTACCTGCTTCCACAGGAGGCTCACGTGCATGCCATCTCTACCTGATGCTAAATACGCACCAAGGGCTGTCAGACTCTCTCATTTAATCCTAACCAGGACACCGGGGGTGAGTATTTTCAACCCTGTCTTATAGGAGAAGACAGAGACCCAAAGATACTAAGTCAGGATCGTCAGCTGAGGACAGAAGGAGCAGGTGGAGTGTGAACCAGAGCTCCTCGTCCCAAGGTCTAGTGCCTTTCTACCCAGCACTGAGTTTGGTCACAAGTTCTGTTGTCACTGCGGAATGTACGCTGGGGCTAAGTGCTGGGTTTGCGTTCTCATTTGATCTTCACAAGGACCTTAGAGATGATGACAATGAAGATATTATTACCATTCCCAGATTACCGAGGAGGAAACTGAGGCTTAGATGAAGTGACTGTCCAAAGGTCAAACTCAAAAGGTGGCAGAGGCGTGAAAGAACCCTCAGTGTCTGATGCTAAGGGATCACATGATTGATTGCATGAATTTCTTCATGGCAATGCCACTGTTTACTCAGATTAGAAAGCATGTCCAATTTCTTTGGTGGCCACAGGCCATTAATCTTGACTTCGAATGTTTTGCTCTTAATCCAAATGCATTATGGGGAGGTGCGGGTGGGGCAGGGGAGAACCCCCAGTGCTGGGAGAGATGGGAACCTGGGCTTAGGCAGGGCTCACTGGATTGTGCAGGCTGAGGTATCTGAGCCTCAGGTACTGGGGACCTGGAGGCTATCGACCGTCACTGGACACTCACATGAGGAGGTCAGATCTTACACTCATTGTGAGAGACATGGAGGAGGGGGAGGAGGCACATGGGGGAAGACAGGGCTGGTGTGGCCAGGTGACTTACTGAGGGGCGGAGGGTGGGGGAGCTTAGACAGCCGCACTGAAAGGTGGGTAGAAGGCAAAGGGACACGGGAAGTCGGGGTGTGACTCCAGGACACTGGTCTAAGTCAGGTGCCTGTGGGGCATCGCGGGTGCCTGACAGACTTGAGCCACGAGGCCTGGCTACCTGCTCTGGTTTCCCCACTGCCCACCTGGCTGAGCTCCTCCCCCTTCCTCCCTCCTCTTCCCTGAGCCCCAACCACACAGTGCTGCGTGTGCCTCCTTGGAGAACCTTCCTTCCTTCCTTTCATGTGCCCTACCCCAGCCCTACTTCCTTTCAGTCCACCCACCCCAGCTCGGCTCAGGTGACACCTTCCCTCTGACACACGCCCGGGGTCTTCCTTTCTCCATCCCTGGGGGGCGGGGATCCTCCTGTAGGTTTCATGGCACTTGCCAGTGCCTCCCCTGCCTCCTGCCGGGCACTCAGAACTCAGGGAGCTCTGTCACAGGACCTATTTATCTGCCACAGCCACAGCCGGCAGGACTCTAAGAGGGCCTCTGAGATTTCCACCTCCTGGTGTACACACCCTGTTGAATCCCTTCCCCTTGGGTGTGGGCAGGACCTGGGAATATGAGGGACAGATTCTCAGCTGTGAGAGGGCCACGTGGCTAGGACCTGACAGAAGCTTCCAGATCTAAGAAGGACCTCAGTCAATAGCCAGCAAGGAAACAGGAACCTCAGTCCTAGAACCGGACTCTAACAAAGTGTGAAGGAGCTTCCAACTGGCTGACTCCTCCCAGATGACCTCACAGCCCCAGCCAACATCTTGACTTCAAGACCCTGAGCAGAGGACCCTGCGGAAGTGCCTCCAGGCTCCTGACCCACAGAAACTGTACGGTAATAAACGTGTGTTTTCTTGAGTTTCTACGTGGGTGGTAATTTCTTACATGACAATAAGAAACAAATACCCTGCCTGAGTCCTAAGTGGCAGGGACGGGGTCTTCATACAGATATTCCCAGCCCCAGAGCCCTGGCACATGAGTATGAAGACACTTATATGGGCTGTGTGATCACATGGACTTGGAGATGAGAACATTGAGGACGGGGGAAGCACTGGCCCTGCTTAGAGCTGTGTGGGGCTGAATGACCGACCGTGACGCTTCACGTCCACCCACCTCCTGGCATCCAAAGAGATGGCTTAAAAAATATGAATTAGATCACATGATTGATTGCATGAATTTCTTCAATAACTTCTTACTGTACTTTGAATAAAATCCAAATATTTTACGAACACCCAGTGTTCCATATCTTATCCCATGACACCTTCCTCCCAATCTCCTGAAACTTCCCTTGATCTCTGCCAGGTTTTTGAATATGCAGAATCCCTTCCTTCCACGGGGGCTTTGCACTTGTTTGGTTGTCTGCCTGGAAGGCTCTTCTCTCAGCAATGCATGTGCTGAGTCTCTCCAGGTCTCTATAGCAATGTCCTCTCCTCAGAGATGATGCCCCCTAACCATATTGCCTAAAGAAGGTCCCCCAACATGCCATTGGTGTTATCTGTCCCTGTTCCTGCAAAGCACTTATTAAAATTATAATTTTATTTAATTGTTATTGCTACTTATGCCTCTTGCCTTGGCTGTAATCCACAAGATTAAAGCAAACAACGCCAAGGACTCCACCTCCACAAAGATTCTTAAGTAATGGGTCTGCCATGGCCCCTGGATGTGAATTTGCTATAAAAGCTCCCACGTGGTTCAGTTTGTCCAAGGCCAAGATTGAGAAATGTCGCATCAGACTGCACATTATATAAGGGCCAGGCTCAGTACTGTTGGCAACGCTGGACGAAGGTTTGTTGCATCCATTCACATACATGGAAAAGGAATAGCAAATACCTCCCTGGGGCTCCAGTCTGCACATCCCCTCCCCAACTTTTTCCATTTTTTAAAATTTTAATTTGTTATATATGACAGCAGAATGCATTTCAATTCATAGTACACATATAGAACACAATTTTTACGTCTCTGGTTGTATACAAAGTAGAGTCACACCATTCCTGTCTTCATGCATGTACTTAGGGTAATGATGTCCATCTCATTCCACTGTCTTTCCAACCCCATGCCCCTCCCCTCCCCCCTTCCCTCTTTCCCTCTGCCCTATCTAGAGTTTATCTAATCCTCCCATGCCCACCCCTCCCCCCATTATGAATCAGCAGCCTTAAATCAGAGTAAACATTTGGCATTTGGTTTTTTGGGATTGGCAAACTTCACTCAGCATTATCTTCTCCAACTCCATCCATTTACCTGCAAATGCCATGATTTAATTCTCTTTTAATGCTGAATAATATTCCATTGTGTATACACCACATTTTTTTTATCCATTCATCTACTGAAAGGCATCTAGGTTGGTTCCACAGTTTAGCTATTGTGAATTGTGCTGCTATAAACATTGATGTGACTGTGTCCCTGAGGTATGCTGATTTTAAGTCCTTTGGGTATAGACCAAGGAGTGGGATAGCTGGGTCAAATGGTGGTTCCATTCCCAGCTTTCCAAGGGTTCTCCATACTGCTTCCCATATTGGCTACACCAATTTGCAGTCCCACCAGCAATGAATTTGAGTAGGGCTTTACTTCGAAAGAATCAGCCCTCCCTATGATGCACAGCCAACAGCAGCAGTGGGGGAGGGGCTGAGATACCAGCCTGGCCCTATCTTATCCTAAGCTTGTGAGGCCATCTCCGGCTTGGCCATACCTGTCCATGGAGAGCTGGGCAACCAGGGTGACGTCGGTGCCATCTGCAGCTGGCTCATACTCGTAGTGCAGGAAGTACAGGTGGGTGCGGTGCACGGTGAAGCGCTCTCGCCGGAACTCATAGCACAGGTCGTCCTCATCGAGCTCCGACAGCTGCTTCTGGAGCTGCAAGGCAGGAGGGCACAGGGCTTGGGGACGAGAATAAATGCTCCAAGGGGCCCGTGTGCTGCCAGCACGCTCTGCCCTCTCAGAGTTTATCACACATTGGGGCCTTGTTGGTGGTTTGGCAGATGCAGGAAGAATCTCCATCTTCTTTTCCCCAGAGATTGAATCTAATTTCAAAAAGGTGATCACGAGGACAAAAGCCTCACCATCTGAGGGCTGAGCCCCACTTAGCTAGGAGCAATGGTCATGCTCACTGACAAAGGTATAACCTGCCACTATTCCCTGTAAACTAGGTGACCCAGAAGAACAACCAAAAACGATAACAGGGAGAAAGTTCAAAGAGGAGAAAAACCCACACAGGAGGGACCTCCATGTGACCTGATGCTTTTCTTCCCCTAGGGCTACAGATTTCAATCTTTGGACCAAATATTGTAAAACAAACCAAACAAATATATAAACAAAACTCTTATTTTTGTTTAATTTTACCTATGTTTAATCAACATCAAAACAACCACTTTTTTTTTCTCTTCTCTCTTTTTTCCCTAACTCTAAGAAATTCTCACTTCATTAATCTGTTTGCAGAAGTCTTCAGCTCTACTTCCTCCTACCTGGACTGGTGGAGACAGCAGGCTGGCCCTGCTACCCAGGAGCCTGGATGCTCATGAGATATGCAAACACTGATATGCAGATGTGGCTGCCCAGGCCATACCCTCTCACTACACCCCACAGCAACCAATAACCACAGGATGAGGGCACCTGGGTTACAGATGAACAACTGGAATTAAAAACAAAAACAAAAACAAAAACACAACAAAACTGGGTTCAAAGCTCATCCTCAATGATAGAAACGGGATCTGCAGATGTGGAGTGTGGAGAGAAGGCCTGGGAAGAGCAAGGGAGCTTTAAGGGTGATGGAAATGACCCACATCCCAACTGGCATGATGGTAACCTGGTTGCACACATTTGGGGACGCTTGCCTAGTGGCAGACTAAGAACAGTGGGGCCTGTTGCATGCAGTTTGTATTTCAGTATAATTGACTTCTATAAAACAATAATTTGCCAACGTTCACACAATTGGTTCCTATGTTTCTTCTATTACATCCGCCTTCTCCATCACTTGATACATACAGTTGAATATAGACTAAAGTTTATATGTCTAGAGTTACCAATCTGGCTGAAAGGAGTAGAAGGAATAATGTTTTTCCAAGGAGATGCTTTTATTTTTTTAAATTTCAAACCCACCATACATTAACTTGCTTCTGTATGGCTTTCTATCAGTTAAGGCCACAGCCTTGTTAAATCATGCTATGACGTCATTTCTTAAGAGTCGTGCTGGGGTGGATGATTCTATTAATTGCTCTAATTCTTCATTCCTTTCCCCACAGTATCCTACCCTTTGCAGTGGGGCTTATGACAGAGACTGGGTCTATCTCCCCATCCATTGAATGTGAACTGGACCTGTGATGGGCTTTTGCTAAAAGAATGCAAGGGATCAATGTCATTCCCATTCTGAGGTGAGCCTTCAAGAGAAAATGCATGCAATTCTTGCACTTCTACCACAGTCAAGAGAAAAGGTCTAGACTAGCCTGCCCTAAGAGGACCGACAGCTGGGGCAGGGTACATTCTCCTCAATTGCCCCAGTCATGTGATGGGTCCTGTCAAGATCAACAATTCTGCTCCAACAAACATGTCTTGGGTCATTGAGGTTTTATGGGGTTTGAGGAACAGAAACCTAATAATGTAAATTAGCATTGTATGGGGGGCCCTTTTACATTGCAGAGTCTGCACCACCTATCTAAGGATAGTTGCTCTCCTGAGTCTTTCAAGGGTAAATGCTCATAGCCTCTACAGATGGCTCTGTAAACCCAAATGTAGTCCCATATTTCCAGATGCTCCTTGGGGAATCTGTTGAGATCTAGTGTCTATGGGATGTTATAGGCTACCTTTAAAATTTTTACCAATGAAAAGACTGCAATCAGGGATATCATCCAACTTTTCAAGTCAACTTGATGGCCTTGCCATTTGAAGATTCCCCTATGCCAACTTTTTTTTTTTTCTTTTTTGGTTCGAGGGATTGAACCCAGGGGCACTGAACAACTGAGCCCTTTTAAAACTACTTTATTTAGAGACAGGGTCTCACTGAGTGGATGGGGACCTCACTAAGTTGCTGGGACTGGCTTTCCTAATCTTCCTGTCTCAGCCTCCTGAGCCACTGGGATTACAGGCGTGTGACACCATGCCCAGCTATAAGACCAGGAGCTGGAAGTCTCAGTGCAGCTAAGATCCTATGAGCCAGCTGACCCCTTATCAAAGTCCTACATATTAATGTAGGACTAAATCCAGATTTCCTTGGGGACACTCACACACAGCTTTCTCTGCCTGTCACCCCCACATATTCAGTACTCCCATCAAGGATCTTCCCTGTGATTCCAAACCTGTTTCCCTCCACATCTCTGACTTTCTTCCATGTCATGTTCTTTCCCCGCTGCTGGCCCTCCTTCACCCCACCCTACTCTTCTACACCTAGGGACCTTCTATTTACCTTTCAAAATTTAGCACAGACAATGTAATATACCGTCTCTCTGAGACCTTTGCTGGCTGTGCCTGGTTCCATGATCCTTCTTTTCTGTGCTCCAAGAACAACTGCACCATGGCTCCATGAAAGCATTTGTCAACTTGAACTGCAATTATTTGAGGGCAACTACCTTGGTGACACAGTGACACTTCACTCTTGGAAGTGCTCCATACCCATGTGTTGTATGCATGAAAAGTATCTGCAGACAAGAAGACTGGGATCATGGGGAAGACCCATCCCTCCAGTTTCCTCCCATGTCCTCTAATTATGTGCACAGAAGGTGACAAATAAGTCCGTTCCTAAATCCACTCTTTGCCTGCTATTTGCAGTTCAAGGGTCTGTGATGGCTGAAAAGATTTTGGAGAGCAGACAAACAGGCACCAAGCTCTGCTAGGGGAATCTGAGAGTGTGTACCTACTCATTCCCTTTGGTGCCCACCAGTGACACACCAAAGATGCCTTGATGGTGGGGAAGGCCGTTTCAGATTCCCAAGGTCACTCGGGGAGGTCAAAGCTGGTCTTCGCCCCTCCACCACCTGGCTCCTTTCCAGGAAAGATGCTCCCCAGGCCTCGGATGGAGATGCCTCTCCTGCCTGACCACTGCAGGCAGGTGGGTGGGTTATTAACCTTACCCAGCTTTGATTTTCTTAACTGTAAAAGGGGGATGGCGATGGTACCAGGGGATGGTGAGAGATGCTGTGTGCAAAAAGCCCAGTGTTTGGGTAAAAGGAGTGACTCATCAGACATCACCTGCTATCACAGTTATTAGGACACTAGTAGGAGGGGAGACACCTGGGCCTGAGGACACCTGAAGTAGACTGTATGTCAAGGGCCTGGGGGATGCAGGGCTGGCTGAGTCGGTGACACTCTGATTCATGAAGAGCAGGCAGTGTAGCCAAGCCTGTCTCCTTGAGGAACTCAACTGTGACTAGAAACCATTATGTCACCTCCCAGGAAGAAACTTAACCCACTGATGTCCTCTCCCTCACCCAAGCTGCAAAAGAGAAAAGACCACCATTCCCATTCAGAAAACAGACATCTGCGAAACTCTTTTTGCAAGAGAGGGGCTCATTGTCTTCTTCCCTTGGTTTTGTTTTGTATTTTGAATGTGTTCACAAAGGTATACACATGGCTTCCAGATCTATGAACAGAAGAGAGGGAAAGTGTGGGGCCATGTGCCTGGAAGGGCAGGCAGGCAGGTGTCTGTGGAAAGAGGGGCTCTCCCTGACCTGGGGATTATCCTCACTGTGGGAAAGAACACTAATGACCAGGGGATGAAAAATGCATGTGTCTACGGGGCTTTACACACACACACACACACACACACACACGCACGCGCGCGCACACACACACATGTGCACACATTCCTTCCATCAGGGGAAAAGACACCCCAAGGTCAGTGGGTTGCAGAGCCATTTTCTAGAGAGCAGTTGTGCAGTGGTGGGCTCAGGTAAGGGCTGAACCTGACTCATCTCTGAATCCCCTGAGCCTGGAACCTCTGGAGCACCAGGTGAGGTCAGCAAGCCTCTGTGGGTGTGCTCAGACCCTCCCTGCATGGTAAGACAGGGAGCAGTGGTCAAGGAAAGAGCTTCCAGAACTACCATAGCCAGCTTGCCATGGCAGGAAGTGTCACCAGCGTCCTGCGGGATAAGTGGCCTCTGTCTGTGAACTCTGCAGCACCACTAATGTGATTCACTAGAATCTACCTCCCAAGCTCACCTGGTGCTTAACAGGTGGGGTCTAGGAACCACGCCACGTACTGTGAGAAGCTGCCAGACACACCTGTCTGCAAGACTGTAGGTCCAGCAGATGTCATCCTGGGCTTTGGTATATTATTTATCACTACTGTGACTGTCACCTATATTCAGCTGTTATGGACAGAACACCTACTATGTGCTAGGTACAGTGCCAAAATCCTCTGCTGCATTGCTTCATTAGTTTAACCCTTCAGCACACATTTCTTACACAAAAGAGAAAACGGAGACTCAGTCTTTGGATTTCAAACCATGGACATTTCACAGCACAATTACTTCTTCCCTGGACAGACGTGAAGGTCAGAGAGGCTGAAGGTACAGTGTTCTGTAAAGAAGGCAGGCCATAAAAATGGATATGCATTACAGTCCCCAAACAGACAAATGCAAACTAGCAAAAAATGCTAGAAAATAGATCAAAGGGAACATTATAAGGTTAACAAAGATTTTTCTCTGAGTGATGGGTTCAAAGATAAATTTTATTGCTCCTTTATACTTTTCTGTAGTTAACTGATTCCCTGCAATTTGCTCAAATGAGTTAATGCATGTGAAAGTGCTTTGTAAACTGTAAAGTGCTATGCAAACCTGAGCAATGTGCTCTATGATTACATTATGTGCCTTTTCAGATTCTAATACAGGCTTTTTTATTGCTGATGTTATCTCAAGAGGAAGACT